GGCCTGCTTTCTTTTTATGGTTACACCTCTATGTTCCGACACCCCTATGTTCCAACTGCACATATTCCTATTCTTGATCCTAACCCTAACCGGGAGTAACACAATCTAGGTTGTCGGAACATAGGGTTGTCGGAACATAGGGGTGTCGGAACATAGAGCAGTCGCCCTTTTTTTGAAAGGTTCCTTTCAAAGTTTGTTCAACCATTTCATTAAGCAAGAGACTTGGTCATTGAAAACTGTAATTTGTTGTGACAGTCTTTTTGAAAACGTTTGAAACTATTTGGAACTATTCATTTTACTGGATTCAATTACTGAGGTCTATTTTCTGGAATGAAACCTTCTCGCTGCAACTATAAACTGCATTTATAAACACCTTGAGTGGCCTTTTTGGGCCTTGTGTTGGGAGACTTCAATTGAAAAAAAATCTATTTTCTCCTGTACAAACTGTAACACTTCAAATAAACAAGATTTGATTGCATAGTATCACTCAACTTTGCTCTGTGTGGCCTCATAATTATTCCTCCATGACTGAATACACGTTCGATGGGGGAGCTAGTAGCAGGAACAGACAGCACCCTCATAGCAAGAGGAAAGAGTCTGGGGAGGCTGTTCTTATTTACCAACCAGAAGTGCAGGCAGGCATTACCCAACGTAACAGCTCAGCTCACTGATATGATCTACAGCTGCAGGCGAAATAGAAACCGCGCAGGCCAAAGTCCGTTTTTTAATGCACTTAAGGCGTAAACCGAATAGCTAATTAAAAGTAGAGTAGCTTAATTAAGTGTATTGGGTCGCTCGAGTAGCGTTTGACTTGGGTTGATAACAAGTCATTTCACAAGTCAAAGCTGGTATTTACAAGTCAAGTCACAAGTCACAAAAATAGCGACTCGAGTCCGACTCGAGTCCAAGTCACATGACTCGAGTCAGCAACTCTGTGGTAGTGTACCGGTACATGCACAGAACTGTCAACATATTGTTTGCTACAGCTGATAATTGATTGTATTCGTTCAGGCCCAGCTTCTGTTAAACTTCCACATAAACAAACATTCGTCTGCAGCCATGATTGAAATGTGACTTTTTAAGGCCAAATAACCTACATGTATGCCGAATAGATAATATGCCTTCAATCTTGATGTATCTGTCAACACGGACCCCTCATTTAACTTTCGAGAAAATATTTACAACTTTTTTAATTGAACTTGAGTGTTGCGGTGCAAAAAATATTGTTCAAGTCCGTGCCAGTATGTTGTATGAAAAATACAACTTACAAGTCCAAACAAGCAGCAAGACTCGGGCACAGACAAAAATAACAAAGGCAGGCCGAAATACATGTATACATGTAAACCTACACTAATTTAAATTTGTATTCCAAATATCTTCAGCAATCTTTGGCCTCTCCACAGAGATTGTTCTACTTGCTGGTATAGGCACTCTGTGTATTCCTTTGTACTGCTTAAAGACTCCTTGAATAGGGTGTTGGCTACATTGTACTGTGGCCCAAATTTCACCATCCTGGCAGGTTATTAGCTCACTATCACTATCAAGTTCCTGGCATGTTATTAGCTCACTACGACGTGCAGTTCTTGAACCTTTTACTTGACATTGTCAGTATTTTATTTTCTTTCTATTACGTTATTTACATTTGTTTTCTTTTTTTGTCACCATGAAACTCAAGAAAAAAGCGGCACTTGCAAAGGTGGACTTTGCAGACGACACATCCATGGCTAGGAACAGGTGTGTTCCCTGATGAGTTCTTGTTGCCAGTTATGAGACTATATGCCTATATAACTTGGTGTCATTAGCAAACATCTTCATTTCGAAATCCACATTATCGCGCAAGTGATTAATGTAGAAACAGACACAAATTGGGCCTAGCCTAGAGTGAGCCTTGGTGGCACTCCACTGCTCACATCCATCCAATCAGACTCGGCGTCTCCCACCGTAACTTTTTGCATCCTTCCGACAAGCAAATCTTTCAGCCAACTCCATATTTGGCTTTCCACTCCATGTGACTTATGCTTGGACATTATTCTCCTGTGCTGGACAGAGTCGAATGCCTTTGAGTAGTCGACGTAGATTTGTCTGCGCCTCCTCCCTCATCCTTGTGATATCTTCAAGGGTTTCTAACAGGTTGGTGAGACAAGACCAAGACTTTCAGCGTGACTGAGGATACTTTTTCTGGATGATGCCTTTCATCATGTTGCATAGAATTGATTTGAGGCTGACTGGCCTGTGGTTCCCTGGAGAATTCTTGGAACCTTCTCTGTAGATAGGAACCACTCGAGCATTCTTCCTTTCTCTTGGTAGTTTACTTTCATCCAGATATTTTCTGTAAATGGTGTACAGTGGTTTTGCCATTTCATCAGCTCACATGCTCAGCACATGGGGTTGGACACTGTAGTATTTAGCTGCGAAGCAGAGAGCAGATATCACATCGTCGGTTGACGCGAATGAAAGAACATTCAGGTTGAAATCAGGATTGGCATTTCATTAATTTTGCCCCCAGCTCTCAAAAATATGCTCACCATCCCCAGGGATTTTGTCTGCCTTTAAATTCTTTAGCTGCTCTTTTACATCCTCCACAGTTAACTCACAATCTGTTTAAGGTACATGTACTCCTCCATGTATTAAATAGGTTGTAGCTCGGGAACCTTTTCCAAAGACAAAGTCAAAGAATCAGTTCAAGATGTTTGCTGCCTCCTCATCTGTACATGTCAACTCACCATTCTTCAAGGAGTGGCGGGAAGTGAACAAAACGACATTTCAAATGTGACCAAAAATTTAAAACCAAAATCGTAATGAGAAGAGGGAATATACACATCAACTTCATAAAACTATATTTTTCTTAATTGCTATTGATATACCGGTACTTGTAAGGTATTTTATTAAAGGGAAATTACAACATTTGCAAACATCAAAAAATAAAACTACCAAATCATTTTGAAATACCTTGCTGGACTGTCAGTGAATGACAGTGTAAAGCATCCTGTAAAATCATGGCACCTGGTATACTGTCATTTTCAAGAAAAGTGGTATTTTTGTATCAATTTCCAACGCTGATCGGCCGATCAGCGTTAGAAAAAACTGGTTTTTTTTCAAATACTGGCCCCCATTGGCTATCGCACTTGTTTGCAATCGATTACACACCTATGAACTGGTACAAGCCAGCTAGACTGGTTCCCCTGACCTTACAATTCTCCAATATATGTAAACTGCTCTGTTTCTTCTTAAATGTAGTCAGGGAACCAGACTTCAGGGAAATGATTGTTTTTCTTGTTTTTTTTTATAGCATTTTCGAACCCAAAACCTAAAAAAAAAACAGTGTAACTATATTTGCTACATATTTCCAACCCCCCAATTCCATCCATTTCTGAAAATTACAGCAAAAGCAAATGATGTATATTCCCTTTAATGTTACTGTGACACACATACATGTACACGTAGGTCTAGTAAGCATTTTATATTTATTATGTTTATAGGATCATGTAGAGGATAACAATTTGTTTCATATAACCGACATATATGTAGATCATTGTCATTTGATATATTTGAACTTTCATAAAATTGTATATATCTCTTCCGAAACCACTCTTTCACGACCCCAACTCTGTAGCACTGGCTCTTAGGATCAATTGGCGCTACGCGCAACCCTCAAACCAGTATGCATTTGCACACAAATACCATGTCATGTAACAAGAATAATCCTCTTAACTGTTGAATAGTATTTGGGGCTATTTGAGCTCAGGTGTGAATGGGAGCAATAACAAATGTCACATTTTGGATTTCCACCAATCAAATGACAGGGATGTCGCTTACATAATATATATTACTCAGTTTTGTCAGTTTTGAAGGAAGGCAAAGGAATATAGTACAATTTTTGTCAGTTTTTTTTCAGCATCTATATGAACACAAATCTTACGTTTGAACAGGTCAGCGTGACAGTTATAATAGGGGCGTAGCAAGGTCATTTTATTGGGGGGGACAACAACTTGTGATACATTTAAAGATACATTTGTCTATACGGAGTATGATTTTTAAAAACTTAGTTAAATTTATGGGCTTATTACGTATTATTTTTCTAGAGGTATTCTGATTTGCGCTGCAGTGCGTTCAACCTAACTGTTCCTCTTACCGTGTAAAATATGTATAAAAATTATTTTACCTAATTTTGGTGGTTTGTATTGTATCTGTATTGTGACATTTTTTTTTTATGCTGTTTTTATAAACATTCGTATTCTTTTTTACTAGTTCACTGTATTATCTTCAGTGTATTTTTGGTGATTGTGCATGTTTCTTGTATTTATGCAGTTGCACGTATGTGTGCCCATTTTAATTTTGTTTTCATGTAGTTTTAATATGAGGGCCCATTTGGAAAACATTTGGTAGTACATTAGCATAATCTGACTGGACTTGGGTGAAAAACATTGTTGATTGTAATTGTGATGTTTTTATGCATTAAACTGTTGCTATAAATTTTACAGGTTTTTCAATAATTGAATATCATATACATGTAAATCCAACAAAGGTTTTTTACCATGATTATGTACAGTTTTGTAAAAATATTAGCAAATCAATCGTTTATGGAAGGACTATGTCTAGACTCCTAATTATGAGCTACATTGTGAATTTGAAGCATTAGTGGATTTGATGCACCGAGTATTGGATGTGCCAAACCAGGATGCTTTTGGTCAAGTCAAATGCAAGCAACACACGAAATATGCATTTTGCTTCAATAGAAAGTTCGAAGTTAACTCTGACCAAAAGAATAAATACACTTTTGCCCCCCAAAAAATAGTTACCTTCTATCGCCTTACACCCAGCCATTCCCATAGCAGACATAGGGTCATGCGTATAGCACCTTATTGCGCATCGTGAAATACAGTCATGTACGTAAAAAACAGTTGGTTCTTTTTTATCTACCCTGTATACGAAGACTCGTTGCTCTGGGCAAAAGAAGTATTTTTTTCTGGATCTTGGAGATCCTGTCTATATCATCTTACACCTAGCAATTCAAAGAGCGCAGGGTCCTTCATACCCAAAAACGGCCCCATTTTTGTGGTCGGGGATTGTGTGTAAAACATGGCGCATCGTGCAATAATGGACCTACTTTTAAAAATAGATCGCAATTTTATACGAAGACCCCTTGCTCTGGGTCAAATTAATGTTTTTCTTGATCTTGGAGTTACAATCTATCATGATCTTACACCAAGCCATTCGCAAAGCATGGGGTCTTTCATACTAAAAACGGCCTATTTTTGTGGGCGGGGATTGAATGTAAAATATATGGCGCATTGTGCAATAATCGACCCACTATTCGAAAGAGATCCAAAGAATATGCGAATGTCTTTTCTGGATCTTGGAGTTCTCCTCGACAATCTTACACCAATCCATTCCCAGAGCATGGGGTCCTTCATACTGCAACCGGCCCAATTTCTGGGCGGGGTTTGTATGTAAAACATATGGCGCATCGTGCAAAAATCAACCCACTATTCAAAATAGATCGAAATTGTATAAGAAATAAGACCCCTTGCTCTGGGTCAAAGTAACGTTTTTCTGGATCTTGGAGTTCCCATCTATCATCTTATACCCAGCCAGCCATGGCGCATCGTGCAATTATCGACCTTCTATTAAAAATAGATCGAAACTATTTACAAAGACCCTTTGCTCTGGGTCAATGTAATGTACCCATCTATATTGTAACAATTCCGGCATGCCTAATATAAGTCTCGGCTAAGACCCGAATAAAATCGGGTCCCAGTTATCTGCCGGAAGTTTGAATGAAGAGTCGATGAGTGAGACGGGATTCTTGGAGGGGATGGGGGAATTATTCACAAACGACCACAAGATAATAAACAATAAAATATGTCCACAATGAGTAATTATTTCAACCGATCAAAACGGTAAACTCAGTTTATCTATTCTTCTTGAGTAAACTTGAATATCTTGGGGACAGCGCCCTCTATTATAGGAAGTAAGGAAATTATAATGAAGCTGTGGTAAGAGTTGCTCAGTGGTAGCGTATTGATTTTTCGATGGCTGCTTTTCCTGTAATCTTTTATACAATCTCAAAATATTACAGCGCATAAAGCAGTTTCTTATATTTTGTCTAAAGTGTCGAAATTTTCACACACAAAAGCGCTCATGTTGTGGTTTTGAATTGAATGTTTTTTTTATTGTTCGTACCATTCTCGCAGTCCGAAGACTGAATTGCGATGGTTTACAATTTACAATTAACAGAAATCATTGAAAAAAAAAAAAACATTTATACATATCGTCGTCGTTTATACGAACCGGCAATATAGGCAAATTGCATGAATTTTTCGATTTTCTAATTTTTACATATTACTAACTTACTTATTAAAATCTACCTTCACGTGAAATTTCAACTCTGAAAACGCGCTAGATTCTAAGATACAAACAATCTTGAAAATATCTTGTGACCGAAATATAGTCGAAGCGTTGAAACTCGGTCTGTACGAAGTGACAAAACAATACGCGGTCAGTTCGTAAAACCCGCCCATACAATGATTCCTGTTGGGAGCGCGCTGAACGCACTTGCCCCGAACCGACGCAGTTCAATGCTATGTAACGAAGCTGTATTAGGGAAATAGTGAGAAAAAACATTATCTCTCCCATGGCCGTAGGCAGGATTTTTTTCGAGAGGGGGCAAAGCAAATTTGCTCCGGCTCCCCATATTAAACCCTGTACTTTTTCATCATATTCTTTCGAAGGAGGCAGCGACAATACATGTATATTTGCCACCCCCCCTTAAATTAACAGCAATATAACTTCGCGCCTGTTTTTCTTTTCTTTTTTCCTTCATAAAATTGTTTCTCTTTTTTTTTTGGCTTTTCGAGGGGGTTCCCATTCACTCTCCCTTCAGCTAACTCATATGTACGACTTGAAAGCTGTACGTACAACTTATATCTTGTATGTACGACTTATAGTTATGTCTTACGGTGTCATACGTACAACTGTACGTACGACTAACTTGTACATACGACTAACAAGTCGTACCATGCAACTTAAATATCGTATGTATGCCTTGAAAATCATGCGTACGACATATAAGTCGTACATACGACATATTAATTGTAACGTGTACGACTTATATCTCGTCGCACGACATATACTCGTAGGCACGACATATAAGTCATACGTACGGCTTATGAATTGTAATATGTACGACTTGAAAGCTGTACGTACAACTTATATCTCGTACGTACGACTTATAATTATGTCTTACGGTGTCATACGTACAACTGTACGTACGACTAACTTGTACATACGACTAACAAGTCGTACCATGCAACTTAAATATCGTACGTATGCCTTGAAAATCATGCGTACGACATATAAGTCGTACATACGACATATTAATTGTAACGTGTACGACTTGTATCTCGTCGCACGACATATACTCGTAGGCACGACATATAAGTCATACGTACGACTTATGAATTGTAATTCGTACGTACGACTTATCTCATACGTACGACTTATATATCGAACAAACGCCTTGGGAATCATAACTCGTACGTATGCCTTATAACTCATACGTACGACTAATAACTCGTATATGTACGTCTTGTATACATGTAACATGTAAATATGCATCATCTCGTACAACTTATGAATTATAACTCATACTTTCGTACCTACGACTTATATCTTCTATGTATGTATGACATATACGTACGTCTTATAACTCGTATGTACGACTCATAACTCGTGCGTATGCCTTATAATTTGTAAATACGACTTAATCTCGTACGTACGAATTATGAATTGCCACGCGTACATACCATGTATATGGCGCACATATGACTTAGATCTCATATCTCATACGTAGGACTTAAAATTCATAAGTAGCATGTAAGTATCTCGTATGTATGATCGACTCTTAACTCGTACCTTCGCCTACTTATAACTCGTAAATACAACGTAAACTCGTACGTACGACTTATGAATTGTATGAACGTACATACGACTCGTATGTCGTACTTACAATCTCTTATGTTGGTATACGACTTATAAGTACTCGTACGTACGCCTTATAAACTGGTATGTACGACTCATAATTATACGTATGCCTTATAATTTGTAAAAGGTACGTACTTTGAACTTACTTACGACCTACAATTAATAACCCGTATGTACAAGATGTAACTCATACCTACGTACGATTTATGAATTGTAACTCGTGTGTACGACTTATGTCGTACACACAATAATATCACGTACTTACTTACGAGTAATAACTTGTACGTACACTTTATAACTCGCAAATACGAACGTATGACTTATGAATTGCAACCCGTACGACTTATGTTGTACTTACGACTTATATCTCGTATGTACGACTTACAATTCATATAAGTGGTTTGTACGAGATGTAACTCGTAGGTACGACTTATATGTCGTACGTACGAGTTACAATTCATAAGTCATAGGTACGACATATGTCGTACGTACGAGTTTCAATTCATAACTCGTAGGTACGACTTATATGTCGTACGTACGAGTTACAATTCATAAGTCGTAGGTACGACTTATACGTCGTACGTACGAGTTACAATTCATAAGTCGTAGGTACGACTTATATGTCGTACGTACGAGTTTCATTTCATAAGTCGTAGGTACGACATATGTCGTACGTACGAGTTACAATTCATAAGTCGTAGGTACGACATATGTCGTGCGTATGAGATACATGGTACGTACAAGATATAAGTTGACGTACGAGATATAAGTCGTACGAAGGCAATATATAAATCGTACACACGACATGCAAGTCGAGTGTACGATATTTTAGGCGTGCGTACGACATAAAAATCTTACGTCCCGTACAAGTTACATTTCATAAGTCGTAGGTACTGAGGTATAAGTCGTATTTATGGATTGTTTAAGTCGTACGTAGAGTTAGCTAAAGGGATGATGAGAGAGATATTTTTCTCAACATGTCCATAATACATGTATACTGTATAGTCGATTCGTGGATTCCATGCGTGCACACGCTTGCGTCATTCTCACTAGAATTTAATAAGGGGCCTGAAATTAAACAAAAATGAACATACCCCCATGCTAAAAGTTAGTAAGTAAATGGAGATTGATGATGGCAATGGATTAAAATTAAGACCTAATTAAATATGAATAAAATAACATGTACATTGTATTGTAGTTGAAAATCACCCAGTGGATATGTAGTGATGTCTGTATTAATGTCTGCTCTAGTATCTGGCAACCCGGATTGATTAATAAACTAATTTGAACACCCCGTGACGTAGACATCAACTTCGCAACCGTCTAGGGCATCCAATCAATCAATCAATCAATCATGTTTTGTCAATAATAATACATGTGGGAACAACATTTTTATTTTACTTTCGCCGATGGATAATTTGGTTTGCAAACAATAATTCAGCACATAAAAACAATCTGGGGCGAACTTCCACGTATAGCGTCAGTTCGTAAACATCATTGCATCATGCATGTCCTAAGCTGTCAAGTTGTTTTTACGAAGTGATAAAATAGTACGTGCGCCAGTTCGTAAAAAAGCTCTCACAACGTACATCATACAAAAGCCCATAAAAAATGGATTTACGAACCGAAAAACTTGTTTAGAGTTCATTTTCTCCACTAAAATTCCGATTATGAATCTAACCCGTAGGTGTGTTATTAAAAACACCTTCTGTGGAGGTGACCTGCAAAATTTTACCCGAAATTGTGAATGTTAAACTATAAAATTTGTCATCTGAAAACTCGTATAACTTTGAAAGCGGTTTTCTCGAAATCTAGTTTTTACGTGAAATGCTTGTTTCGCCGGTTCGTAAAAACGGCGACGATATGTTCGACATTCATAAATACCTAAGACAGTTTACGCATTCCTATTGGTCGAGAGCCCGTCACGTGGCCGGTCTTAAACGAATGATAACGACATGGCTAGCTGGTCTTAAACACTTTTCCAGTGTCACAATAAAATGTGGACTCCTAAAAATCCAGTGCCTCTTATCGGATTTTTCCGTCGACAAAGCCCAATTAATAGCGCAAG